AAATTTATATAATATTATTAAACTAATAAAAAAATATTTAACTTTAATTTATAAATATTTTTATATACATTTCATTAGTTTAATAATAACAAATATTGTTATTTTTTTTATTATATTATATTAAAACTATTTTTAAAAATTTAATTAAAATAATTAAAATATTAAATTATAATTTAATTTAAAAGTTTATTTTTTATTGTATTTACATTATATCACATCCTTATAATATATTATATATAAAATCAAAAATGATATTCTAAATCTTTTTTGATATATTAAGAAAATTTGTAAAGCAGTTAAAAATATGTATAGTATAAAAGTTTCTTATAATATATAATAAATACATAAAGTCTCATACCAGGATTTTTTAAAAAATGAAAAATTTTAATGAAATCATACACTCCTATACAATAAGTTTAAGACCACATTATTTTTGTTTATATTAATAAAGTTTTATTCTTATTTATATAATTTATTTTTTTTAAAAAAAAATTTGTATTATAATTTTTTAAATAAACATAAAAACTTACTATATTTGCATTTATAAATCATACAAAATAAAGTTCAACTCTTTAACTAAACCAATTACAGTAAAATAAATACAAAATTCTAATAGTTTAGCTAACAATAAAATTATATTTCAAATTTCATGAAAATTGAGTTAGTAGTTATCAAGAAATTTAATAATTAAAGATCAACAATTTATATATATGAAAATTATTATTTATGCTAGATCTTATATATAAAAAAACTTATATAAATAGAAATAAAACTTTATTAATATAAATAAGAATAAGGTAGTCCTAAACTTATTGTGCAGAAGTATATAATCAAAAATAATTGATATAATTAATATATAAAAATTACCAAAAAAGAAAAATATAATACATTGCAGATGTAAAAAAAAATATATTTAGTGTTGTTAATGATTTAATTTAGTCTGATTTAAAGTTAAAGTCAAACTAAACTAATTGATTTAAACCTTCAAGTCAAACTGATGGAATCATTAATATTGGTCTCATCAACTTTTTATCAGTTCTATTAACTTGCTTATTAATTCTATCAACTTTATATATGCTGTCCAAATTATTTTGAAATGTTATAATTATAATTTGAAATGTTATAAATGCTATAATTCATTCAGTTTATATGTAATTTACTATGTAAAGTGCCAAAATAATTTGGAGTGCTATAATTAAATTTGGAATTTTACTTATAATTATAGCAGCCTAAAATAATTTGAGCAATATGTATAATCAATCCTATCAGTTTGATTCCATCAATTTAATAGTTAAGTTGAATTGAATCAGATCATGATTTAAAAATCTTTTAGTCAAATCAAATTGATCTTATCAGTTCAATTTGGTTTGACTTGTATTTAATAATACTAAATATATTTTTTATATTATTAGTTTTATTAATTAAATTAAAAATAAAATTTATGTGTAATTATATATATGCATACTTTTTCATTTTTAGTAATTTTTATATAGTAAATTTATTGATTATTAATTATTATATAATTTTATTAAAATTCTGTTTTTTTTAAATATTTATATCACAATTCTTATATATTATAGAGTCTTAAAATTATTTATTATATATATTTTTACCTATTTTATAACTTTATGCGTTTTGCAGTAAAAAAGGATAAAACTGCTGAAAAAATTTAAATTTTCTTTTATATGCCAAAAATATTCTAAATGCTATAATTTGTTCAAACTTTATATATGTTTTATTGATATTAAGTTTATATACCATACAAACAAACTATTATTAATATATTAATTTATATTAATTATTTATTTATTTAACTAGTAAATATATAGTATATATTAAAAAATTTATTTATTTAATGAAATTTAATGTAATTTTTATTAAATTAATAAAATAGTAAAATATTATTAAAGGTTGATCACCCTTGGTTTATTATTTAGTTTATGAATCCTCTCGTAAAGTCTAATTATGATAAGGATACAAGTTCAATTCTGGTTGATCACAGAATCTGCACTGAATTTTATTGCATATGAACATACCATATCATTGAAATGGAGTCATAGGATTAATATGAATTGTATCATGGTATATTAGTATGTACAGTTAAGCTATACATTTTAATAGAGAATCACAGTGTTCTCTGTTCTGAGATTGAAGTAATGGTAAGCCAATTGTTCTATCTAGGTAGTCATTGCTTGTATATTACTTGAGTGGATTTTTGTCTTAGTGATCACTCTACGATACCACTAAAGGTGTATTGAACTTTACTGTGAGATTCGCATACTAGATGGAGTTCATAAATAGTAAAGTCTTAGGTGCAATGTCTTTACAGTAATTTATCTTCTAATAGATTTAGGCTGACTATGATGTTTATTGGCTTACAGATATATAAGGTTCTGAAGTGAGGTTCGATTCCTTAACATATTTGGTATATTGGCTGATAAATCTTGTGTGACTAAGGTAAGTCACTTATAATAAAGGGAGATTCTATACCCTTAGAGCTTACTGTTCCAATAGTCACTACTATATTATTAGTAGGGAGTTGACAATTATAATAGGCTGAAATGATAATCGTGGTCTGTAGTAAGCTTTAAATGAGATTATACCAGTTAAAACTACTATAAAAGGTCTTTTAGATGTTTGTACCATTATATTTGCCTGTATAGACTGATTGTCCTTGAACTAAAAATAGTTTAGACCCTTACTGTACTTGATGTATTGTACTGAAATGTTTAATTAAAATGACTAAGATGCATCTAATCTAGTATGGTATTATGGGAGTATGGGAGATGGTCATTTCATTTAGACTCTTAGAGTGGGTTAAATGCTATAAACTGTGCCTTAGTGGGTCCTTTAGTAAACTGCCATAAGGTAGTTGAAAATTTGCTACTTAGTACACTTTGTGTATTTAGAAAGCACTTCTAAAAAGTATAAAAAATAATAATAATAATAATAATAAAATATTATTATAAAAATAAGAAGAAAAATTAATCAGTAAGGAATTAATATTAATGCTAATAATGAATTGACTTAAAATTATGTAATTCTACTTAGTTAATTTTTCTTTTAGTTTAATATATGTAATTATATTTTTATTATAATTAGTGTTTTAATTCCTTATCTGATAATATTTACATAAGGCTATTAAGTTAGAAAGAAAAATATATAGACAGATTGTCTATTGAATTTATTTAGTAGTTTCACACCATTCCATATTTGATTATATTTACATATGGCAAATTTTATTTGAAAGAAAAATATATAGACTTCTTTTAGTAGTTTTAAAGAATTAATTATAAAAATCGTTTCATCATTCTGTATTCGATAGTATGTACATACAGCTTTTTTAATAAAGAAAGAATCATACATGCACGTTATTTATGACGTGTAGTGATTAAAAATTTTTTTAGCTAAAATTATACAGGAGTATTCAAGAGATGATATAGATACACAAGAATTAAAAGGTAAAATTAATGAGCTTGGTATGTGGGATATTGGATGTTTATATAATTTTACATTTTTAATGAAGAATCAAGTCAGTTGTCAGTTAATAGAATTATTAAGGTGCTATAAAATAACTGAAGAAAAATTGTTGTATAAGGTACTGAAACAAATAACTGGGAGAGTTTTATTAGAATTCAAAGTGTTTATTTGGGAACCAAGGAACGAGTTACAAATAAAGAAAGAAAAGTGGGGTGGTATTAGCAGTAAAGATAAAAAAGCTAAGTCACATAGTAAACGCACTGAAGTGGGTGTTAAAGATGTTGGCTGTAAGATGTTAGAAAGTAATTGGAATAAATGGAATGATTTGGCATTCCATCGAGGCGGTCATTGGGCAAATTTTTAGGTAGATCATGACAGTCACCTTTGAATTTGAGGTCGCATCATGG